ATCCATCCATCCATCCATCCATCCATCCATCCATCCATCCATCCATCCAAATACATGCTCAACCACATCCTAACGTTGGTATACCATCTAACCTAGACTTGTTTGTACACAGTAAGGTAAACAATATACTAAAATAAACTTTCAGGGGAAAGTAAATCCTCTATTTACCATCTTATGCCTATGCATGACTGGCCATGCACATAATTATAACCAAATGCATCATGGGAAAGACTATGAGCAGAGAATAAAGGCTTATGTAACTTGTGAATCAAAACCCCTGTTTCCTGTGACCGACTCCTCCAGGGTCCATGGAAAGAAGCCCTACAATGTAATCCAGAGTGCTCACAGCCCTGTAGCACTGCATCTCCAATTTTTTTTCATTTTTCCTTTGAACAAAATCTGTTCTTAATTTGCTATTTGTGCGTACTTTTTAATTCTTTGAACTAGACACAAAAAGCCAGAAATTCTCAGTCCCTACTATGCTTCCTTGTTACCATTTCTTCATTCAAGAGATTCAGAGTTTTAACCCCTGAGGATGATGATGCTACAACACTGTGTCATGTGATGACCAGCCTGATAACACATCCCAGGGTCAAGTTATCCTAAGAAAATAATGGGATAAATGAGGTTTTCATTGGGAAAACTAATTTTTTATGTTATTAGATAACATAATTTTTTATTATGATTTTTTATTTAGATTTTTTTCTGAGTACTTGTCAAAGCAGAATGATATAAGAAGACAGATGACACATGTTCTTGAAGAAAAATCAATGTCTATTGTGTTAGCATCGTGTCTATGAAATACACAAACAATTGAGGTAGAAACCTTTCTCATTTCTTAAGACAGGGCTTCACTAAATGGCCACGGCTGGCTTCAAATTTGCAATTCTTCTGATTCAGCATCCTGAGTCTTGGGATTACCAGGCACCACCATGCCTGGTTTCAAAAATTAGTTTTTTTAAGGAGCCAGGAGAAAATATTTCTCCAAGTTTAACAGAATAATGAATATGTAACAAGGTCCAAGTCTTCTTATGGACAAAGTCATAGCCTGTTTAACATAAGTAAGTTGTTTTTCAGGCTCAATATTTCAGACATCATAGTATTAACAGAGTGAGAAACACACCAACAGGAAGGGCCCTTAGCGATGGACATTTTCATGGAAACTCCAGGGAAGGCTTCACACAGCAGTGGCAGAATCAGGAGCAGGACCTGCCTATGTAATATTTACATCTAGCGTTTTGGTCATAGCTCTGCAAAAGTCACTATCCTTGTCCTCCTGCACTGGGATTCTGCTAGGACCTATAAATCTTCTCCAAAATAACCTGAACAGAATGCTTGCTTCTGTGTGTAGCCACGTCCATGCTGGATCTGAAGGTTGAGCTGAAGAACAGCCACAAATCTACCCAACAGGGAAGTGTCTTTCTTCTCCACTCTATATGCCAAGCCTCACATTTGCTCTGAATTCAAGTTTTTAAATGAACAGTTTACCACAAGAGAAACATTTTTCTTGGTGGTAAATATATGTTGTTTAAGTTTTCTAGCTGATACTCTGGTGAAAATGTAAGAGTTAGGAACCAATAAAATATCTACCCTTCATCCAGCCAAATCCTGTGGAATCTATTTTGCCACTTACAAATATAAAATAGTTTTTTTTTTTAAGTCAAGTGTTCACTAAAGCTGTCTCTACTGCCTCCCCATGCACTGTTCTTTTAATACTGCTGTCATACTGCCAAAGCTGTTGGGGGATTTATTTTTAAATTTAGAGATATGAATTTGGCTTTCCACTTACTTCCAGAATCACTTAAGTTTCTTCAGCTTTTAGAATGATGCTGTTCTGTCAAGAGATGCCATTTTTCCTGTTAGATGTCTTCACTTCTGGACTGGTCAGGGTTCTCTAGAGGGAAACAAGTAACAGAACATGTACATGCTACAAACGGGATTTATTAGCTTGACTTACGCAGGGCTGGCTAGGTCAGCAATGACATTCTGCATGTTGGAGAGGCTGAGAACCCAATAGCTTCTCAGTCCAGGAGTCTCATGAGTCTGGTGCCTCAACAGTCCTAATCTGGCCCTGAAGGACTGGAAGATTCCAAAGAGCCACTGGTCTTCAGTCCAGGGTTTCAATGTGAGCAAAGGTTGGCAGCGACTGTACAGAAATGATTCCTAAGAGTTTCCTGTCAGGATGATGGGTCCAAATAGGTTTCATTTGTTTTGTCCTTCCCTACATGTCCATCTTTGTTGACTGGGGACAAATGTTTCCTCCAGGATTCAGATAAGTAGTTCCTGGACTTAGCTGCTGATAAAATAGTGATGATAAATAAGTAAAAAAATCAGGCTTAAATAAGACAAAGAACTTACGTGTGTGTGTGTGTGTGTGTGTGTGTGTGTGTGTGTGTGTGTGCCTGTGTAAGTACTCATGTCTCCATGTAGCCGTCAACAGAGATCAGAAGAGGATGTTGGAGCCCCACAATTGCAGTTACAGGCAGTTGGGTAATGGGAACCAAATGCTGGTCCTTTGGAAGAGCAACAAGAACTCTTAACTGCCAAGCCATCTCTCCAGCTTCCATTTACGAGTTTTCAAACACCATCTTCCCTTTTGAGGAGCAAAAAGGCTTCTACAGTAGGTGTATATTGATGACTCTGTAAAAATGTGGTCCCACACTAGTGCTTTAAGACAGTTTAAGAAGCTCTGCTGGTGCCTGACCCTTCTTAGTCTCAGATGCATCCTGCATCCGACCTACAACACTCTGTCAGCCAGACTTCACCTTGATAACTCCTACGTCATATTCATCTTTCAGGCCAGTTCAGCTCATAATTCCTGTGCTCTGGCCAAGTCTGGTGAGTTCTCTGTCTTATCCCTAAAGCCCCTGTACCCATTAAAAAAGGAGTCAAAAATCAATATTAAAGGAGATTCTGAGTGACTTGCCAGTACTTTCAAGATGATTTTCTTATTTTCTGTAATCAAAAGGAGCGGAGATACCAAAATAACCCTAAAGGTCACAGGAATTTAGATCACATGTGTATCTTTAAAATCTATCTCTAAGTCAAGTCTAATAGCACAGGTCTGTACACTCAGCTTTTTTGAGAGGTTGAGGCAGGAAGACTGTAGCCCACCAGGACTTCAGTGTAAGGTCAAGTCTAGTTTGGAAAAGTCAGTAAGGTTTGCTTCAAATTAAGAGGCAAAAAGAGAGCGGAAGATATGCTCAATTGTGGAGCACTTTTCCAGCACGAGCAAGGCACTGGGTTCCATCCTGAGTATTCCCTGCTGCCCTGTAAAATTTCCGGTGTTCAAAACAATGTGCTGTGCATCTCATCCTTACTGAAGTTTAACCTGGACATGCCAGTGTTAGCTAGTTATCAAAACCCACTATGAAATTAATAGGTTTCTCTTTTTCCAAGTGTAGCTTATGTTCTTTGAAACCTGTTTTCACCCCTTGGCTTGAGACCATAGTGTTAAGTTGAAGTTCTGTATCAATGGATCTTTTTCTAAAAGAGGTGGGGTTCGCCCTCCCACCCCCAAAAGAGTTCAATCACATCCGCTAGCTTCTCTTTGTTAAAATCCAAGGTGCTGTTCATGACCCATGCCAGCCCACTCTGAAGACAGACACACAGATGAGCTGGAGTACTACCCCATGACACACACAATGAAATCCTTATCACCTCTCTTCTTTGCCTTTTAAGGTCAGTAGTATTCCTAGTCTTCTTCATAAAGGTTGTGAATAAAATATCAAGAGAAACAATTATCAAGAAAGGCCAACTGATGGGAATTATCTACTTGAAATAATCCTCTACCTGTATTTGAATTGTAAATGAAATGAGGCTTAGTAATTTGGATTAAAATAATTTCCAAAATGAAATTCTTCACCATTACTCACACACTGATAGAAAACTTTCTGTTCTTAGTATTTAAATGAGACATAATATACATCAATGTTCATGCTTATAAAATAATCGCCCCTATCATCGTCTGAGTCTACAGGTTGCTTAATAGACCTACAAGCACCAAATGGGCATAAGCCTCAGAGTTTTAGCTTTACCTAAGTGAGCTGTGAGCTGCAAGGACTGTGTGGGAACCCAAAAATGGCCTCTACAGAGACCACAGCCAATTTTGGTTATTTTCTAATAGCAATATAGAACTGAGGCAAGCTTAAGATAACTGTATATCCCCAAATAAAATAAAACAATTTGGACCCAATCCCGACATTGTGAAGGACTTAACAGGAGCAGATGCTGAGATCCTGAAGGTGTGGTGAAGGGTTTTAGCACCTGGAGGAGCCTGGGCTTACCACGTGCTTGTGACCAATTCAGGGTGCAATATTTGACATCTGTGCAGTGTGCAGAAGGCAGCGGCCATCTGGCTATTTTAAAAATGTGCACCTTCTGCAAAGAGTTGTGCATTCATACAAATGGGAGAATAAACTGTAGGGTTTAATCTTCTGGAGAAATGCTGTGACCTTCTCTGGTCTCCAGTAAGGTTTATATTTGATACTGAGCTTTTTCATAAAGACAAAATGAAAAGTTTCCCCATTTTCTCAGCTCTAGTCCAAAACATCTTCCAATATGTCCCAAAAGAGGATTTGGAAAGAGGGAATTTTATCATTCTGTCCTTTTATTTTCCTGAGTGAATGTTCACAGAACTCTTGCCTGTTGCTACAGTCACATTAACAGGAAGTCAGGGCAGAAACATGACACAGACAATGCTGTCTGCTCCTCCATGGACACCACTGGTAGGATAGAATGGGAGGGCCACTCCACTCCCACTGGGGTCTGAGGGGAACTGTGAGTGTTCAGAAGGGTATCACAGGTAACAGATATTCTATATACATCATGGATAAACATTGTGTAAGGAGGAGGTTGTGATTTCAACAGAAGCACAAACTAGATTTGATATGTTAAAGCTATATCTTTCCTCCCAGACAGCAGATAAGCATGAGCGGATGGCAGTCAAGGAGGTGTGGCTGACTGCCAAAACCTTCACTGCTTCAAGGTCTGAAGGATGGCTAACCCCACCAGTGTTTCGCTCTGCTTCCCACAAGGCCCCCGTGTTTCCTCAGGCTCCTGTGCTCTGCAGTCTAATGGTTTATGTTCATCCTTTTCTAGAAGCCTTGAGAAATGAGAACATGATCACACCTTTTCCTAACCACAGCCTGAATTTCTGAAAGGAAACTCAAGAATTCCATTAAATTGCTTTTAATAAGAAAAATAGAAAAGTCCCAGATTAGAAGTTATAAACAATATGAAAGACAAGGAAACTAAAGCATGTGCTGTATTTGATTAATTAGGAAAAAATAGAATTCACATTTAAATGATATTTAATTCAATTACATAATAAACATGTAAGCATTTAATATAAAACTAAATAATTAAAATTCCGTCATCTCCCTGTCCATTTATCCCCCATTCACTTCATAACCCAAATACCAGTCCCACCTGTGACAAAAAAGGGAATTGTCACCCTGCCCATGGGAAGCCCATTTCTCCTGAGAAGGAATAAATGGTGACTTTTCACTCTCCTACCTAGTAATTTGCAAAAATAAAATCTGGATTTCACGAATGCTAGCAGTAGTTTGTGGTGTTGCCTCACTGGCTGTTTGCGACAGGCTGGGGCGAGATGGTTTCAGAAGACCCTGAGTTCCCACCACCACTGCGCCTGATCAGATATATACCCCATTGCCAGATTCAGCAGCCTGACCCGTCTGTGAAACTAGTGATATCTTTATTGGTATCACAACTATAGGCTCATTATAAAACCACACAAAGTTGCAACATTGTGCAGGAAAGATTTGTTTCTTAAGAAAATAATTTCATTGCTTTTGGCACTCTCCAGACTTGCTTTAGCTGCTGCACATGTATCTTCTTGCCATGCTCTGGCTGTCCATGAACACGGGGTCCAGGGAGGCCACCTTGGCAGCGATGAAGGAGTGGATGCAGTGGAGGACAGCCGTCAGGTCCTGGAACTCCAGCTCCTGAGGGGAAACGGAACAGGACTGAGGTCACTGGGAAGAGGTTCTTCGGCAGCTTTTAGTAAATTCAGTTCTTCGTGTACTCCAAGAGTTTTTCTCTAAGTTAGTACAAATTCACATTGAAACTGGTAATATTAAAATAAAGGCAGTTGGGCACAATCAACATGTATTTATAAAGAGGGGTAGACTGCTGTTGGCATTGATACCCAGACAATGCAGGTTGTGATTCCTTGATCTCCACACAGGATGACATGCATGCCACCTTTTTTTTTTTTTTTTTTTTTTTTGCCTCCTTAGTTTGTGCTAGGTCTTAGTCAGGGCTGAAGATCAAAGATATGTTTTATGTCATCACCACAAGCCAAGATGCCAGTACTAAAGATGACATTAAGATAAGGGTCTCATGGCAGTGGAGCTGGTTATCCTGGTTATATGTGTGTACTCTTTTACTTGTGGCTTATAATGAGCACTTTTGGAAGGATAGCCATGTGAGCAGCACATGCGCATGCACACACACACACACACACACACACACACACACACACAGAGTCAGATAGACAGAGACACAGACAGAGAGAGAGGGACTTGGTTTCTCCTCATCCAGTTGTCAGGTCAATAAAAGGAAGAAATGATGCTCAAGAACAAGATTCTTTAGAAAGATGGGAGGCTCCACCACCACAGATGATAGGAAATAAAACAGCATAAATTCCTGGGTCCTTACCTCTCCTTCTCAAGTCCCTCAAGCACTAATGTTTAAGAATAAAACCTGCACAAGCTGTAATAACTCTTTCACAATTAACAATTTACTACTACTTCTACTCTAGATCTTGTGAGTACAGGCATCCACATGCCACCTTACACATGTGGAGATCAGAGGGCAATTTGGTGGTCTCAATTCTCTTCTGCCATGGGTTCTTGGATCAAATTCTGGCCTCCGGTGCTGTGGCTCTCTCTTGTTCCTGGACCACCTTTCCTCAGGAGCAAAGGACGAACTGGGGATTCGGATGGCCCACAAGTAAAAATGGAATGACC